TACTGACAGTTAAGATTGCTGATTCTGATATACACTTACAAGGCTTGTAAAATAAATTGCATTTCAACTTCAAATCACTTTTCTTCTTGCTCCTCATAGCTATTTGTAATTAAATACTGGAGTCTCAACAGCCAGTACTTAAAAGAGAATCTGTCATGAAGCAAAGTGTTTGTGTCATTTGGCTCTGATGGTAGCAGCCGTACCTACCTCATGTGCTGTATGTTACCGATGGGGCAGTAAAGCCTAATCTGTTTACTGAGTTACTGCTTTGGGGAAATGGTATTCTGACTTTTAGTCAGGGAATGGCTGCTTCTATTAGTGCCTATATATACACAACAGAATTTTTAAAGAATTACATCAGGCAAAATTAACCCTTGCAGTAGGGCTATCCCCCCACTGTAAGGGTTAACTGCTCATTTTTCTGTAGGGCACCGAATATATACTCACCCGAGCCTCGATCCTGCGGCCGAGACTGCTCACCTCTCTTCCCCTTTGTTCTGGCAGTGCAATGTCCTTTGGCGTTCTCACGCCTAATACATTGTATTAGATGTGAAGACTCACAGATACTAACAGGGTTATTCATAAAAGGGTGAAGAGTTTGGAGAAGGCAGGAGAAGTGACCAATCTAGGACAACATAGCTGAACTGGAAAGTGAGCTAAATTGGAGAATTCTTCCAAATCAGCTATTATGTCCTAGATTGTTTATTTCTCCTGCATTCTCCAAACTATTTACCCTTTAGAGAATAACCCTGTTAGACCACCAGAGTGAAGGGGGAAAGAGGCTGTGGGGACTGGGTCTAGCAGCCAGATCGGACCAAGGATTCGTAAGTATATCCTTTTTATATTAGACTCTAGAACCCAAAATTAGCAGTTAACTCTTGCAGTGTGGGGTAGCCAGTCTGCAAGGGTTATTTTTTATTCTGGCCAGAGTTGTTCTTTAATATAAATATATAAACGTCAGTCAAAGTATCGCAGCGCTGAACACTGAAAAATGGCCTGGCCAGGAAGGGGGTCTAAACACCTGGTCTTGAAGTGGTTAAAGTAGGAATGCACTGAAATTTCGGCAAAATGCAGAAAGTACATTTTTTTGGCTGAAATTGCAGTACATCCGTAGTTTCTCTCCTCCCCGCTGGGCGTTGCCTCAGACGGGCGAGCAAGGGCGGGGAGGATAGAGCTCTCAAGCGTGTCACAGGAGGCAGAGCTCTCCTCCCGCACTGCCCTGCTCTGTGATAGGCAGAGACTCAGGATGGAGAACAGGGAGGAGACACCTGTCAGCTGTCACAGGAGGCCGAGCCAGCAGTGCAGGGGAGGAGTCAGCTGTCAGCCGTGTCACAGGAGGCTAAGCTCTCCTCCCCAGACTGCCCGCTCTGCCTCCTGTGAAAGCTGAAGGAGTCTGGATAGAGAGTGAGTTACAAGCACTCAGCGATCAGGACTGATAATAAACAATTGAGTACATAGTATGTTTTCTGTGTCCCCAATTTATGAATGAATGGGAAGTGCTCTACATCACTTCCTGTTCATTCATGATTGTGGACATAGTAACTCATACTATATACACAGTTTATGAATGGACAGGAGCATTCATTCACAACTGGGGCTGCAGAAAAAGAGATTGAGGACTCTGTATCCTCAATCTCTTTCTATTTCAAAAGGGAATTATCAGGGGTCTGTTTAGACCCCTGATATTTCCCCAGACCCCCCAACAGTAAATAAAAATAAATAAATAAAATATACGTTTTTTTTAAACAGGGAAATAAACAAACAACTTTCAGGTTTTTGGCCTGACACATTTTTTCTTTTCAGTTTCAGTCTGAAAATTCAATTTCGGTGCACCTCTACTTTAAAGCTGTAAATAATAAATACACTACAACAAAACTATTACTTTGCTAACTTAGCATAGCAAACTGTAACATACATCTGGAAACATCTATGTAGTTAAAAATCTTAATGTAGTTTTGTAATCAAAATGACCCACTAGATTATTTAAAGCAGAACTCCAGCTGAAAACAACTTGATAACAATTAATAGCCCGTAAAAAGATAAAATAACAAAACCAGCTCTTGTTTTAATATTCATTTTCAAGCCAAAATCTTCTAGTGCAGTACTTTTTTCTGCAGCTAGATGTCCTCATTCTGATGGCCAGGATCATTTAACCCATTTCCTCTAAGCCCAGTCTGTTTCCTCAGGCGGCATCTCTTTAGGTCATGTCGGGGCTGCTGGCCATGACATTAATGATCTGGTAGGTCACTAATTCTCTGAGAAGGGAGGGGGTGCACTGGTACTCTGTGGAGGGGGAGGGGGTCTACAATCTTGTCCCTAAAGTCCTTTAACAGCTCTTTGGTCTTGCCCATAGTGGTGAGGTTTGAATGGAAGAAAGAGATTCTGTGGACAGGTGTCTTTTATATACATAATGAGTTGTCATTAGGAGCTCCTTCTTAAATTGACAGAACTAATCTGTGTACCACATAGCAAGTCTGTGGGAGCCAGAATTATTGTTGGTTGGTAGGGGATCAAATACTTTTTTTACTCACTGAACTGCAACTCAATTTATAACATTTGTATCATGTGTTTTTTCTGGATTTTGGTTGATATTCTGTCTCTATCATTTAAAATACACCTATGATAAAAAATTATAGACCAAACTTACAAAGTCTGCAGGGGAGGAAATCATTATTTTCCACACTGTACCTGCCTGGGTGAGTAAGTAGAACGTTTCAAGTCTCAAGGAACATGTGTTTAAAAATCCTAAGTTTCTATTATTTACATTCAGTACATGAAAACTAGAAAAGATTTTCTTATCTGTCAAGGCTAACTTATACTTTGTCATCGGCTGTCATATGATATCACAAGACAAATTATTGATTACCTGTCACAAACCAGGTAATGAAATGTAGCTGAAATCTTCACACATAACTCAAAATTGTGTTCCATTACGAGGGGTATTCGCATTCTCAAAATGTTACACATATCACAAAAGTATGATTACGCAAGAGATTCCAGTTAGTTAAAATGACTACAAGGGTCCCAGGAGCTGTATGTAGAGAAAGAGAATAAGGGTGTATAAATGGCTTGCTTTGCCAGGCTGCCCTGCCATTAGGGACTGAAGGTCTATATTTGTGTAGGTTAGGAAAATCTTGGTTGTACAAGCTAGGCAACACTATTTAAAGGGGTTTCACATTTTATTTACTCATAGAGTAGGCATTTATACCTTTGATATTAAAGTAGAACTATGGGGTCAGGGCCCCATAGTTCTCCTAAGGGTAACGGGAGGACACAAACTAGCGTCCTCTCATCACGCAAAGCTCAGTATACCGCGAGCTACAGCTCGCTGTATACTGAGACGCCGCTGCCGGGACGGATCCCAACATTACTGTCTGGATCCACCCAGCTGTGTGAGTGACAGCTGGCTCTGCCTATCTAGAGGCTGAGCCAGCTGTACCCGCCCCCTCCCCCGTCCGTTCTGCCAGTCAGCGCTGGAGGATCGGACAGGGGAGGGGGAATCCCTGAAGGGAGCCGTGAGTGACAGTCACGGCTCTCTGCAGGGACATTATCCAGAAGTGAGCGAGCAACGGTATGTGTTCGCTCACTTCCCGATCTATTGAGCCGACCTGTGACAGGTTCATTGTCACACGTCGGTTCGAACTATGATGCTGAGTGACTTTCTCCTTTAAAGTAATGGCCCAGTAGTAGTGACTGTCACCCCTTGCATCCCTGCTTGTAACCCTTTCTTGTTTCACTAAAGCACTATCAGCTAGTAAGGTTCTTCAGCTGCTATATATTAGCACAGATATTTGTAATGTTAAACTTCTCCTATGGAAAAAAGTTTAACATTTGCTGAATAATGTGGAAGCCACTCTAAAGCTATGCTGACAGATACAGAGTTTTCATATACACACAGGGGGGAATCTAATAAAGGCTTAGCACAACTTTTCTGGCAATATGGACCTTTAAAGGCTGCAGTCTGCAGCCTTTAAAGGTCAAATTCAAAAAAGCCTGTCCATAGCCTGCCTGCTATTGGCTGTGGACTCTGCACATTGCCTGCTGTCAATTAGCAGCTGAGCGGACCCGATAGGGAACTAATCCCTCAGCATCCCCATCAGGCTATGCCCAACTATCTGCATCACTGGTTGTTAAGAACGCTGTCCGCTGTTGCCTGATAAAATCACAGGGTCAGCTTCACTGAATTCTCCACCTGGCCACTGCACCTGATTACTCACCTGATCCACGGACCCGCAACAGTTGGCACTCAGCTCTCTTCCCCACCGCTCCAGCTTTGGAATGTCCCTTGGTGTCCTTATGTCTAATACAGGTCAATAGATCTGCATAAGACGCCAGTGGTCCTTAGATTGCCGAAGCCCAGGGGAGTCGAGGCTGTGGGAACTGGTGGTGTGCGGGGGTAGCCCCACTGCAAGGGCTTTTGTATTTCCTGGAGTTCTTTTATCAATCATAATTTTTCATAGATATCTGCATTGGACCAAAAAAAGAGAGACAACTGAGGAGGAAAGAGGGACAGAGGAATTTGATTCCAAATGTGGGACAGTTAGGAAGTTACTTTATTATTTAGGCACATTGTTATGGGATGATGGGCATTAACGGGGTGTACCTCTGCATGACGTTGAATTGCCAGCCCCGTGGAGCAAGTTTCTATCTGTTCACTGTACCTCTTGGTCCCCTTCAACATTGTGTGTATAGATATGCCCCCTGTAAGAACTATTTTGCCAAAATGTTCTGCTAAAAAGCTGCTGAAACTTTTCCGTGTGAATTAGATTTTGCTCCCTGACCTCTAATCACAGTGGCTGTACTTTTAGGAGGTCTGTGCTATAACCAGGGCAGCTTGGTGCAGTGTGCCCCTGCAGTCTTGCAATGCAGGATGTCAGCTGTATAGTACTGCAGTATGAAGCTGTGGGACATGGAGCTGCCTGCTCCCTGTCTCTCCCCCCTCCATCCCTGAACGGGATCTGCAAAAGAGAAAGAGGAGGAGGGGGTGTCTCAGCATTTTGGTGCAGTTATTGCTGTGCTTGATTCTGGGACCGACTGAAATATACCTGGGACAGTCCTTGAGCTCTGTAGTAGCAAGATCATAAAGGTAATTTTTATTAATAATAATTACTACAGTCACTATGGACCATTCTCCATCTACATCCCACCATGTTTCATTATTTAATTTATTTCTGCACTTTTTTTCTCTCATCTTAAACTTATTTTTTTTTTTGCAATATTCTGACAATGTGTAACTTTTATTTTCTGTTCCCTTCCAGGGGTTAAGTAAGAAAATAGCAAGTGCTTAGGCATGCATTATAGTGAGCTGACATTCTATGAATGTTGCCAGTGTTATTGTGATAAATATAGTACTATATCAGTTACCTGACACATTACGTAAGCTTTGACCTAGTGCTGCAGTGTTGTCTGACTGTCAGTATAGTTTGGGCACTTTTCAACTTTTCTGCTTTCTGTTACCCTAGAAAGTTGGTCATTATCCTATTGCTTTCTTTATTAACTTACTTCTTCTTTTCCCTATTTATTAACACATTATTAAGAAAATCTAAAACTCTATGGGGTTAAATATGAGGATAAAAGAGGTCACAGAAAGGATCCATGAATGTATCAAATAAATTGAGCTTGTAGTCAAATGCTATAACAGGGGTCATGGAGCACCGAGATGACATATAATATCCTTCTTATCTAATATAGTTGCATAGTATTATAAAATATTTATATTAAATAGATGTGCTTTACTAGCAAATAAATCATGCGACACTGCAACGCTTGATATTTAAATAATGACGTCTCTCCTTTCCAAACATCATCACCCTTTAAATTTAAGCTATAGTTCACATCTCTGCTCTTCATATGTAATCCACATTTCACATGCAGTGCAATCACCGCTCTTCATATATATATGATATATTTTTAGCATGAGTAACATCACCACTCTTTATATATTAACAGTATTCTTCAAGAGTGATATCATCCTTCTATATATGTAATTTATATCACACATCAATGTTCTTCATGTGTGAGCTAAATTTCACAAAAGTGACATTACCACTTTCTTGTATAAATAATATCTCAAAAGAGTGACATAGCTATATTTTACAAGAGAGGCAACATCACTCTTTGTAAAGAAGCTATATTTCCCAAAAGTAACTAGTTACTAATTTTTGGATGTAAGCTTTTTTCTCACAAGAGCGGAATTAGCGTTTTAATGACAATACTTCACAAGTGACATCACCGCTCTTCGTATTCAAACAATACTTCACAAGTGACATCACTGCTCTACATATACTGTATAAACAATTCTTCACAAGTGACATCACCGGTCTTTATTTGTAAACAACATTTCACAAGAATGGCATCGCCGCATGAAGACGTGTAAGCCATTTTTCACGATTGATGTCGCCTCTCATCATGTATGAGCTAGGTTTCAATAGTGTTACATAATTGCAGTTCATATGCTAGCTTTGCTTCACAAAAGTCACATCATTGCGCTTTTTCATATAAAAACTATATTTCACAAGAGTGATATCATTGCTCTTCTTAAATGAGCTATAAGTGTGACATCACTGAACTTCAAGTGTAAGCCACATTTCAGAAACGTGACATCACCAGATGTAATCTTTATTTTACAAAAGTCACATCACCGCCTTTCATATATAAATGATATTTTACATGAGTGATATAATCACTTGTCATATACAAGTTGTATTTCACAAGTGACATCACTGCTCTCCATATGCAAGCTATATTTCCCAAAGGTGAAATCACTCTTCCTTATACTGAACTTATATTTTTCTCCTCTCTTGTTTAACTTGTGTTTGTGGAAGAAATATCATGTATCTTTCCAGGTAACAGCTTTATTTTGCAGCAGTGATATCCCTACTTTCATAACTCAAGTGTATAAGAGTGACATCACTGGTATATCTAAATTACAGTTTACAGGAATGAAAACACTAATGTGTGGTTATGTTATATTCTATCACAAGGGATTTGCTACTTAAAGTAAACCTTTCAGAAGAGAAACATAGGCTATGCCATGAGTTCAGTTCATGGGTTGTTTGTTGAATCCTGAGTAAAGTGTAAACGTTCTGAACTCATAATAAAAACCACATTGAATTATATGGTGTGTTGAAACTTGATAAGCAATTCTGGCCATTTCCAAGGCTAATAGGCAAGGGATTTAAAAAAAAAAAAAGACCTGGAGAACTGGGCACTGTACCAATGCAAAAAAATGTATATACCATACAGTGGGAAAAGAGGCCTCCTTTAAATCTGACTTTGAGGGTGACATGGGAAGACAGCAAACCAGTATCTACAGACAATGTCAGCGACTACATATTCTGGCATCACATATTTTGGATGTTTAATTGATTTTTTTTAGAGACAATTGCCACATATATTTTACAGTGGATGGACAGTATGTAAGCAGCTTCTTTAGCCTGCAATGTAAGAGGGACACACGAGGCAGGTTGCATCGTGAAATAAAAATTAGAGTGTATAATTTAGGAGACAACACTAACAGATATTGTAATTTTACAGTGGCTGGATAGTATGTAAGCAGCTTGGTTAGGTTGCAATGTAAGAGGGAGAAACGAGGCAGGTTTTATCCTGCAATAACTATTAGAGAGTATTATTTTAGACACAATAGCCACAAATATTGTACAGTAGCTGGACCTTATGTAAATAGATTGGTTAGACTACACTATAAGAGGGATGTCCAATGCAGGTTTTATCTTAAAATAAACATTAGAGTGTCTTATGTGAGACAGAGTGCCAGAACACCAGATTAGGCTAAAAACTTTGAGGCACATTGCAGGATTTTCCCTGCCGCAAACATTAAAAATTTTGCAATTGAGGCCCAGCTGCCTAAACTTTATGTGTGCCACCTTTACAATACCAAAGCACCAGAACAAGGCAAGAGAGGTGGAAAAAGCTGGTAATACTTTCAGTCCAGCAGAGGTGGCATGAGCTGGTAATTGTGGAAAGCCATAGGAGGTTGCATCAGCTGGTAATGGTGGCAGTCCAACAGAGGTAGAAGGAGCTGGTAATGGTGGCAGTCCAGCAGAGGTGGCAAGCACTAGAAATGGTGGCAGGGTAGGAGAGGTGACAGGAGCTAGTAATGGTGGAAGGCCAGCAGAGGTGGCAGGAAGACTGAAAGAGTTGGCAGTGGTCCAGTCTGGCAGCCAACAGTCCATGAGGTCCTCACATTTAAGAGCGCCCGCATCATTCTTTCCAGGAGTTTTCAGCAATCCTTCCAGCGCTGGTGCCGGTCTCTGATCCAGCGCTGACTGCTGTGTCTTCATGTCCCACAGAGTCTGTGCACATGCACGCTGCTGGGCTGCTTGCATGGACTTACCCTGTGTTTCTCCTCTTCTCCTGGCCAAAGACCTCTACTGCGAATGCGCCCGCCCCATAATCCTTCACGGCTGCTTGAGAATTTTTAAGATCTTTGGACGGGAGCGAGCGACGCAGACACAGGTAAGTAATAACCTTTTTGGTGACTTTAAAAAAAAATATTTTTTTGCATATATCTACTGCTTGCTAGTAGTATGGTTTAATTCTACTTTAATGCCCAACTACTGCAGCCATTGCCGCAGCTGCTTTGCCTGTGGAATAAGGGGGGACATTTTCTTCTGCTCCAGAAGCTGCAGAAGAGACACCTGCCAAGTCATGGATGATGATGGCGCGGTGGGTGAGTGAGACTTATGGCAATTTTTAAGCCTACATTTGACCCTAGTCTGCATGGCCCCATGCTGACCTTCTGATGTGGCATAAGGTAAGCCTCTTAAGTCCCTTGTGAATCTTCTTTCCCTATCTCTTGAGGCAGCAGATGTTGCAGTGGATGCAAATGGAGAATCTTGTGGAGGGGTGAGAGGTAGAAAGTGAGAAATGAGGAGTGTGGGCCTCTGGCTGCTAACTGGTATAATTGAGGACCTGCTTCCACCAAGCCTTGTGGTGCAGATTCATGTGTCTTCTAATGACATGACTGCCGAAGCTGCAGACCACAATGCTGCTGTTGGCAACAGATGGCTGAAAATAGGCTCAGACTCCAGGGGTCTGCGGATTGGTCCTGGAAATAGCAGTGGCCTGTACCTGGGGCAAAATGCCATCCGTTAGAGGGCTATAGGGGAATTAGCAGAAGAGCGGGAGGTTAAAGAAGAGGGCATATTTTCAGCAGTTGCAGACCCATTGGCTGCTTGCATCTGGGAGGAGGAAGAAAAGGAAAGCTTTGTCAGCCACACAACTACCTCCACTGCATGCTCTGGCATGTCCACTCTGAGAAAGAGAGTCCTGCAGGAAGTGCTCGCCCCCTACTACCTCTGTATGCGGAATCTCTGCCACTCTCTTTAAGCATCCTACATTTTGAATACAGGGGATTAGTTTACTTTAATGTCAGCTATAGCAATAGGGAGAATAAGGATATGGTGCTTTTGGATCTCCAAAGATTTGGTGATTTGCACATTGCTTGTGTCAGTAACAAGTTCACGCTGCTCTGAAAGAAAAGTAACCCCGAGCCACACTCGGGAATACCGCCATGGATGTTTTGCACAGTATAGCACTGTATATAGCATAGTTCAACACTGTATATAGCACAGTATAGCACTGTATATACTGTAGCATAATATGGCACTGTATAGCAGCAATTATCTCTCACTGCACAAACAGTGTCAGCTGTCCCAATCTACTCCAACACACATTGTCAATGACTGCTTGAATTCCAGCTTTTTATAGTGAGGGGGTGACTCATAACAAAGCCCCAATTATTGGGCATTCTAAGCCCCATAACCTAAGATCAAAGGCCAAGAAATGCATTATTCGTAGCTAGTTGCTATGATAGCAAACAGCTGTTTTAGTTCGTCATTTTCCCAAGCTGCAAATGAGTTGGGTTTGCCTCAAACCCAGGCTCGACCCGAGAAGTAACAGTACAACTGCCATGTTTCTTTGAGTACAGGTTTCTTTTAAAAATTAGGGGATAAAAAGACCTACGGTAAATGAGTTTTGTGTACTCATGTCAGTTTCTTAATGTTCAGTTACATCAAAAGATTTCAGTTTTCTTTAGCCTTTCATCTCCCCTAATGTACTATCTTTTCCTCCCATTAGATGTGTGGTGGACTTCTCTCACACTCATCAATGCTCTGTGCTTTTTCTATGGTTGTGCTTCTTCATTCAGTACTTTCTGCTGACAGTGACAGAGCTCAAAGAAAAATTGTCCATGTTACTGGTGAGTAAATGGTGTTCACCAAACTTTGATCAGTGGCCATGATCAGTGTAAGATTACATGGCATACCATATGAAACTGGAGTTGGAAGACATGTCTATGTGCAGTTTGTAATTATATATGTCCATAGAGGTAGACATGCTGCACATTTAATATGCAGAATCCTGTGCTTCCCGCTTTGTAGTGCTATAGTTGTGCTATATTCCTCTTTCTTACAATGCAAGTCAATAAGTTACCTTTGAAAACCCAAGACGCTATTGCTGTTTCAATCTATGTCATCTTATTAACAGAAAAATTCTTCTGAAACACAGGAAAAAGGCAGAATTAAGGATGACGTGTTTATTTGATCCTCTCTTGAGTCTCTATTTTTAATTTATGAGCTTTTCTTTTCTCTGTATTTTCTGTTTTGGCCTTTGATGAACTGTAACCACTATGGTCAGAGGACGAGACCGGTGAAGTTATTGTACAAACAGCACCAGGTGTAGTGACCACACATCGTGGTGGCACCATAATTCTTCCTTGTCGTTATCATTATGAGCATTCTGGAGAGGAGCCTGCACCAGTACGCATAAAATGGTCCAAGATCATTGAGCCTGCATCCTTTATTGATGTGTTTGTAGCTATGGGCAAGGAAATGAGAGACTTTGGCTCCTACAAGAACCGTGTTTCCCTTCAAGAACATGATCCAGGAGATGCCTCGTTGATTGTCCGTAATGTTACCTTGGCAGATTATGGGAGGTATGAGTGTGAAGTGACCAATGAGCTAGAGGATGACACTGGGACTGTCAAACTTGACTTAGAAGGTAAAACAACTCACATGCTGAATTTTTTTTCACCATGTAAACACGAAAAAAAACTAATTTTATTGTGTTTCTAATTGTTAAATTATATATTATATGTTCCACTCAGGAGTGATCTTCCCTTATTACCCACGATTAGGACGATATCGCATGAACTTTCATGATGCTCAGCAGGCTTGCAAACAGCAAGATGGAATCCTTGCTTCTTATGACCAGCTTCATGAAGCTTGGCTGAATGGCCTTGACTGGTGCAATGCTGGTTGGTTGCAAGATGGCTCTGTGCAATACCCAATCGCCAAACCACGGGACGAATGTGGAAAAAAAGAAACCCCTACTGGAGTTAGGAACTATGGATACCGTCACAAGGAAGATGAGCGTTATGATGCCTTCTGTTTTACATCAAATCTCAATGGTATAGTGGGGCTCTGAGCAAAATAATTATGTGTTCATTTAAAATAAAATGTCACCTTCCTTTGTTTTCCTGGCACAACTGATAAAATAAGGTATGAGAGCAAGGATAAAATAATTAACTTTTATCCCTGTACAGGCTTCTGGATTATCGGCATGATGATAGTGTTAAAATGTTGATTATTGCCATGCTGATAATGAATACCAACCTTCTGTAGGCAACCATAGATGTAGATAAAAATAAAACGCCCATCTTTTAGCACATCCAGGTGCCATACTGTAGAGCAGAACTGCTTGGTTACCAACTTACTAGTATGACAGTGGCAGGGCAGCAAAGGGAGCAGTTTCAAATTGAATGTTTCACATTGGACATACTGCATATGTCCAAAGCCTGTACATGTATAATAAGAGGTAATATATAGTACTATATGTAATATCTATAATTTCAACTTAAAGCTAAATATACCATGCTTTCCAAAATAAACTGGTTATTACATTTATCAGAAAAATAACAAATGGTATATAAGCATGGACATAAGCATGCTCTGTAACATTTGGGAAAGGGAGGAAAGGAGGGAAGAAAGGAATAAAACATTTGTTTTCTTTGCAGCCATTTTGACAATCTTGTCTATTAAATTACTCAATAAAACATAATATAAAAAATAAAAAAAATAAAAATAGCCAATGTAGATATGTAGAAGAATATATCTCCATAATTATAAAACAGTTACACCCACACCCAGACTTGCTTTATCTCTTTCGTTCTCGCTTTCTCTGTCGCATAGAGACACAAGCATCTATGACAGGCACTCATATATAAAACCCTATACAAGTAGACTCTGGTAAATGTAGGATCTCAATGAAAATATGCATGTGTGTCAGGGAATCAGGATCCATCCCCTAGGCCCGCCGCGCCGGCGTGGTTGCTAGACGCAGCTCTCAGACGTACAGTGTCTGAGTGACAGGCAGAGCAGGCTGGCCTCCACACAGCATTTCCATTGCTAGGAGACGGTTGGGAGGGCCGCTGCTGGTGGCTCCACCCCCAACACACCTGCCTCTCCTACAAGAGCTAACAAGGCTCACTTGCTCGGCGTTCTAGCGAGGTAGAACGCCAAGCAAGTTGCTAGGACATTTACACTCTGCCATCCTGAACCTTGTTGTCCTTCTCCAGAGGAGTCACAGCTGCGACACTTCCTCCACCAGTGGCTCGGGGTATCAGGACTGTTTCCACCAAAATCGCAAGTACCACCTGCATACCCAGTCTGATACAACATTGCATAACCTCCATTGGCTCCATTGGCTATTGAGTGCATGCAGCTCACTTCACACCTATATATATATTACTGCTATCCTGATTACCTGAACTGAACATCACTACCCTACCACTTAACAGTACCATCATTGTTTTGACTTGCATTAGTGAGTTTAACTAGTGCAACTACAAATCCCAACAGGGCTCCAATGAATGACAATTGACAATGACAATTGAGGACCTATAGGACATCGCATCTTATCGACTATTGTGTTCACAACTCTGTGGTGGTGTATGATGTGCTAGGGGTTCTGACCTCACTTATTCAATACAGAGTGCGACAGCGAACCCCCTACCTGAGCCATCCACAGAGTCACTTCGCTGTTGAGATCCACACACATAAGCTTGCTGGACATTACAATATGTCATTGAATGATGTGCATCTCGGTGCCTCTTTTTGTATTTCTCTATGTGTTTTACAGCATGAGGCCTATGGGGTACACACACACACTCAGTCTTGATTGATATCCTGGTTGCAGCCAGTAAGGCTAACAATATCCATTGCATTAGGCAATACATGACTGTAGTGTCTGTTTAAATTGTAATAAATAGTATAAATCCGCTGTAAAGTTAATACAAATAATTAGGGATGCTCCGATACCGATACAAGCATCGGTATAGGCGGCGATACCGAGTATTTGCATGAGTACTCGTGCAAATACTCTGATAAAAAAACGAGTACCTGTGCTGCGTCCGCCATCTTAAAGGACCTGAAACCGCTGCACACACGACCTCCATAGCGTCTTCAATGAAACAAGATTTTTTTGTATTGCTTTAGAAAAAAATGTGACCTGTCCCTTTAAGAAAAAGTATCGATAATTTGTATCGGCGAGTACTTGAAAAAAAGTATCGGTACTCGTACTCGGTCTTAAAAAAGTGGTATCGGAGCATCCCTACTAATAATTATATTACCAGAATACAGAATTCCAAATACACTGCTCCAGTTTATTTTAATTTCCTGCTTGCCGTACCTGTTTTAACCTTTACACATTTGTACTTGGCAGCCAAATATTAAAACAGAAACAAAACACATCAAAGATCCCGACCTGGCCATAAATGTCAACATTGTTTAAATATAGACACCTTTAGCGGTTGTAGCTTGGTAGCACTTGTGTTAGTTATCAGATTAGCCCTTCTGACCCTGTGAACCCCTTTACTCCTAAGTTAATAGGGATATTTTAAAGTTCATTCCTTAGTTTGCACATGGAACCTGAATTGACCCATAAAATTTGACTTCTCCCAGTTCAATTTTAAGCCCTTCCCTGCCACTTAATTGCCAAATGGAAGAACTTCAGTGGGTAGTAGCATTTCCTAAAGATATCACATGATTCCATTGTGCTTTCTGTTCTCTAGTAGAGGCTCTATGTATAGCCTTTTCCTAGCATCCAAAGGGCTCTACAGGACAATTTAAATTAAATGGAGTTCATTTGCTCAGCTTGATTTGCATTATTATCCCTCTGTACAAAGTCGTAAGTAATTCAGATGTTATACTAAAATGTCAAATGATTAATTAGAAATCTTTCTCTCTAGGTAAAGTTTACTTTTTGAAGACATATCACAAGATGAGCTTCCCAGATGCCACAAAGGCCTGTGAAAAAAATGGTGACTTTGTAGCCAAAGTAGGCCAACTGTATGCTGCCTGGAAGCTGCAGCTTATGGACAGGTGTGAAGCTGGATGGATTGGTGATGGCAGTGTCCGCTACCCTATTGTGAACCCACGGACAAGGTGCGGGGGTACGGAGCCTGGTGTGAGAAACCTGGGCTTTCCTAGTAAAAAGTACAAATTATTTGGGGTCTACTGTTTTAGAGGCAAAGAGGAGAAGGAACAGAGTACAGAGAATGAAAACATAAAAAAGGAAATCAACAAATGGAAGTCTAACCATGTGTAGACTGCATGATGATTTGGCATGGCAAAAATGAATATACTGGATGCTAGGTGAAAATCCATATGTGCTTACTTTTATCAACATGCAAACTCGTTCATTGAAAGAATGCATTTCCTCAACCAGATTATAAATGAGCATCATATTTAGCGATGGCTGTAGAAGGTAAGAGGTAAAAGGTAAGGTACAGGGAAAAAAAACTGAAAGGCAGTAAAGACCTACATATAAATGAAAATGATTGCAGGTATTTCGATAAAAGAAAGAATCCTGAGAAAGTGATGACATACATGCTATATACACATGGACAGAAATCAGACTAACATGCTGAATTTAAATATATTATGTGAGCTGTCCTTGGTGCTGACTCAGAATCCTATTACTGTCTTTTACATATACGCATTCCATCCTTTATGTAAAATAATGGAAATATCAGTAGGGTATTTATCAAGCATGTTGATGCAGCATTGCAGTACTAAAGCCATTCATTTGCCTTTAAAAGGAATCTATCCCATTTCTTACATATATATGTAATCATTATTAGTTTGATATGAATAACATTGTCAATGTGTGCTAATATTTAATATGTTCACTTCTATGTATATTTTGATTATGTGTGTATGGAATGATTACCATACCTGCATATATAGTGTGTTTATAGGAATACTTTATTCCTCCATTATTATGTCCTTTATTCCTCCGGTCTCTGTGCTGTGTCTGTGGACAATTCTGTCCAGAAAGTTTGCAATATAAATTGTGGAAGGGTCAGTGAGCATGTGCCAGATCTGGTTACAAGGAAATTGTTAGGAGGTAAAGGTATATTGTTTTATACTTACTGTTCAGATAGAGTTCCAGTTGGAATGTCTGACATACAGAAGCAAAGGTGTATAATGCGCACTATGAGGGTGCTTAGTCTGAGCAAACAAGGCAGCAATCCAATGTTCTAGAGAAGGTGTGGATGCACAACTATAACCAACTTGAATGAATATATTTACTATAATATATACCATAAACACATTTTAACAATTCACAAATACTAACCCACTTGTAGAGTATATGTATGCATGTTTTGGATTACTAAGGGCTGTGAGTTATTTATATGATGGGAATTATTTAATGGTTTAAGTGAGTTTATGGGGTTGATTTACTAACCTTATAAACACACCACGAACATGTATACACCTCTGTAGTGTGTTCCCTCCCAGCATGATCTATGGGTGGAATCTAAACACCTTTGAAGTGTGTACACACCCAGCTGCTGTGTTGTGCAAAGCCAAGCATGAATTGCAAGGTGATGTTGTGTAAATTAGCTCTATGTTGTGTTGCTTGGGTTGATGAATGCAGGAATGTAACTGCATGAGCTAACCATTTTTGTCTAAACTGTGAAGCAGCATTATATATGCATCATGTGCATGATTTTTCCATATATAGCATTAGTGGAAATATGCTTTTAGAGACTTTTTGGTTGATAATAATACGTTTTGCTGTGTGAAAATCACACGCACCTGGTGCGTGCGTGTGTTTAGGTTAGTAAATCACCCCCTATGTGTCAGGACTTAAAAAAGTTTCTTAGCATATATATTACAGTAAATATATTTTGGTATTTAATTTGGCTACAGACGTGTGATTATACAAGGAGAATGTTCTCTCCGGATCGTCTGACATACAGCGAGGTACATCCCTCAATGGTTACTAGACCTGTATATAAAATATTATCATGAATAATAATAATGCAAAGAAGCACAATAAAAAACACTTTCTAAAAAAATAAATATTAAATGAGTACATGGAAAAATTGAAAGCTACCCTTTAATTGAATCACAAGCACATTATTTTGAAGCCATAAAGGTAACAAAGCACAAACAAGGACTTCACATATAGAAATTAGGATACTTACTAGAACTACATCAACACGGGCACACTTAAAATGTTTTACATTTTTGGGAAAGTATGTTAATGCATTTTAAAGCTTGGTGAATGCACAAATGTTAAGGCATTTTCATTTTAGCAGGATTCTGACAATGCTTTCATAGCGATGACATATTTTGGCAACTACTGTTACTTAAACCCATTTTGCACAGTATGGTTACATTTTGTATGCAGTCGTAAGCACAAAAATGTTACAAAAAAATGAAAACATCTAAAATAAAGGTACTTGATTTGAACACAATTCCAATGTTGGTGTGCTAGTAGTTTTTTAAAATTATTATTATCCAGTGCTAAGAATTGATTTTCAAAAGAAGAAATTTCAAATTGATTCCATAATTTCAAAACATAAGAGTGATGATGAGGCATAGCTTGCTACTGTCAAAACACAAGAAAGAAGGTGGGCTTCTCTTGTGTAACAGGAATAGAGGCCACTTTAATGTCTGCCTTTCACTTGCAGAATATAAAAGCAGGTGCTTAGATGTGTGTGAACATACTCCAATTTATCTTCCAGAATACCCCAGAAACCCATGAACTTGAACACTCCAAGCTGAAGGGTATTCCAGCTGAAGGGTAGTAATAGGAGCTTTCAAGCTCCAGCTGAAGGGTAGTAATAGGAGCTTTCAAGATTCCAGCTGAAGGGTAGTAATAGGAGCTTTCAAACTAGAGACTGTTGCATAATAAGTGTCTGAGATAAAACAAAGTATGTGCAGCACCTTACAATAAACAATAATGGTCTGAGGTACATGGTTGTAAGCTGTTCCTGCCACTCTGACATGGGCTCTTGAGGTGTGCCCAAACTGTCACCGGTGTTCCCAAACAGACAAGCAGAGGGCGAACAATTAGTCACCAATATTACCTGCAGGCTCTCTGGAGCTGATTTTTTTTTCCATTACTGACTTACCATGCCTTGTTCTGCACTGTGTCTTTGGGTGGAGGAAGCCATTTTGTTTAAGGAAGCGCTTTATTTCCTTACATCCAAGCTGCCCCTGGTCATCTGATGACTGGTGAAGTAATAATCAAAAACCAGTAGGAGAGGTGAAGGAAGCACTGATCAAAGTGCATTAGGTAGAAGCAAAGAGATACTAGCATTGCAGGTCTTAAGGTACATATTTTGCTCCAGGAAGAAGAACAGTGAGCAGTACAGTAGTGACAGCTACAGTGACAGCTTAGCACAGCTGGCACTTTTAGATGTTTCCTATAAGATGGCAAATTTTCCTTATCTGAGTTGAGGTCAACTTTACCTGATATGACTGCTAAATACTGCGAGCTGGGGCTATTACTGCAATTGTCATAATAGTGTTAATGGAATAGTGTTTATGTTGTCTTTATCAGCACAGATAATGTCCACAAAGTCAAGAAAGTAATTTGTGAATCCACTATTCCTCTGCTATTCCACTATTCCTCTGCTATTGCTTTACCCAGAGCAAAATCCTCTTTACAGCAATTATTTTGAAAAGGAACTTTCATAATTGATCTCTTTTATTAACATATAAATTACATAATTAGAACAGATGGATTAGCCTGGAAATCACAGTATTAGACACTTAGAGAAATATTTATATTGTGAAAATATGTTCTCTTGGAGACAAACACCGTTTTATGTGCAAACATAACTGCTAAGACTCGGAGGCTGAATGAGGTTGTTTTCTTTCACCTTGTTCACAAACCGTGAGTTTGAAATATAAATGGATTTCATTTTTGTGTAAAAGCCATTTTACATGCCATGTGTAAGTAATTACACATCAAATACAGAACATAGATGTCTCATCCATTAGTGACAACTGGTTTAGGAATTTGGTATATAATCTATGTATAATTTAAGTTTCAAGCAGATAATTATCCCAAATAACACTTTTCATGCAAAATGCCACTGTGTTTCCCATCACAAACCTTAGCAGCTGACATTTGTTCTTCTCCAAAATTTGTTTCTGATGGTAAATTTGCTTATTGGTGTTTTTAAATGTTTTTTTTTTTAGAAATGCTTTCTGGTATCCACTATTGTACCAGAAATATTTTGACATTAAATAGAAAATGAATGCATTGTCCTCACATGATATGTGTACAGTGTGTGGCCTGTGATACAGGCAAGGCCTGAGTAAGAGCTAGGCAGCAGCGTCCACCTTCAGCAGTAGTAAGGCGCAAAAAAGGCAGTACCTGCAATTTATGTTGCTAAAGTAATTCCCAGCTCATGGGAGGCGCACTTTGCCCTTTTCAACTTGGACGCTAACGGACCTGTGCCGATGCTGTATACAGTGTATTATCATGTGCAGATGGTTTATTGGCCTTTGACACAGCATAGAACAGACAAAGCATCCTTTGCCCTGGCATCTACATCTTCATGTTCCAAATCTTTTTACAAGTATTGCATCACCTTTAGATTTGACTGATGGAGCTATCTCAGATAAATGTTTCCAAAATAGAAATTACTTTTGCTCACATGCACCATTTACAGAGCAGGCCTTTGGTACGCCATGGATTCTTCCTATTGATATTTAGTAGCTTCATATAAACTGCTTGATCTGTACAGTATTTTGCCTAAATATGCAGTCCTTGGATTTTTTGGATGTTGTAGTGTTACAACTTCAAACTACAATAGAGTTTACTGGGTTTTTATGTCATGTTTTAATGTCATGTATTAAAGTCCCAAACAATCTACATCGCTCTTCGCATGCTTTACAAATAAAACACAAATTATAAAAGTGTTTACACCGCACCTTCACTATGAAATTTCAAACTATAGAAATCTCATAAAAATAGGCCCCTCCGTGTGCAGTTGAAGTGTCACGTGATCTCATAATAAATGTACCTGTTTATTTAAAGCCCATAGTTAGCAAGAGGACCTAAGGGTATCTAAGCAAACAGAACTGTGAAGATCAGCAAGGAGCTATAAAAACAAGTACTGGATAAAGTTCTGGAGAAGTTCCAGTCAAGATTTAAATTTCACTTGAGCACAATAAAATACTCTAAAAAACAATGGAAAGATTATTAACAGGAAAGTACTTAAAGGTAGCTGACAAGCAAAATTCAGTGACCAGCTGAGAAGGGTATTTATCAAAGTAACCAGAAGGACAGTGGTAAATCTAAAGAACCTGCCTGAATCCATAGGTGATATGCACTTCCAGGTGCTGTTTACAGCAACTGCAGCTATTAATAAGCAGGTGAGCTGTTAGTGATTTTGCTTTGTGTTGCTGAAAAAATACAAAATTTGGAGTTTGCTTAGAGGCAT